AATCAGCAACAAGGATATTTCTAGGCACATATGCTGGGATAGGTCATGACATAGTTATGATGAACTAAAGTCAGACTAAGCAAGATCAAAAAGCCCTAGCCCGCCAAACTAATTTTACATAATTCGAGCCAAATGCAACAGAGACAAAGATTTAAAAAAAAAATGAACAAAAATTATTGAAACAAGTTATTTCCAAAAATGAAAGATATTGGCTCAAATTCTGTGAAATGTACTGGATACATTATTTGCACCCACAATATATGTCTGAAATTTCTCATCCACCACAAATTAATGGATGTGTATATCTGTAACATCCATACATGTGTGTGTGTGTGTGTGTGTGCCTTCAAATTTGTCATCAGTCTAATATGTGTACGTCTTTTTTCACAAAGTAACAATATTTTTACATTTTTAAAAAACCTTATTTTTCAAACAAAAGATATTCAGTTATGAGATATTCTAACATTTTTTTGAAGGAAAGGAAACAGAAAATATTTCAAGAATTTTCAAAATTTGAACTTTGATTAACTAGCAAAAGTAGGTTTATTCCTCAATATGATTTAAATTTTAATCTTTTTGGTCTAAAATGATAAGAATAAGAGCTTCAACATATATCAATCCAAAGTAAAAGTCTGATAAAATTTTTATTCATTAAACATTTTAAAAGTTTTCCTAGTGAAAAACTGAAGCATTAAAAAAAATGATTTCCAGCACTATTGTTTTTTTTTTATTTTTTAATTTTCAATTTTTATTTACCTTTTCATGTTTTTATGCATTAAAACATAACATTCCTCTGGATTTGTCAAAAGTTATTACAATGTAAAAGAAAAAAAAAAACCATTACAATGCTCACAAATACCTTACATCTTTTTAGTGGAGGCTTGCAAAGAAAAAAAAAATCCACATTGTATTACAAAAAAAAAAAAAAAAAGAAAAAAGTCCTTATACAAAATGTGAATTTGATTTGCAAAGATAGGTAACATACTGGTATTGCTTGATGTTAGTTTCTGTGATGCTGTCACTCTTTTAGTAATAGAAAAGTCATAATTAGAAATAAAATGCCAAACATGCTATGCTGATAGATCTCAAGGTATAAAGCGGTTAACAAAAAGAGTGTCTGTTGTAAGAAACAAGCAAAACAAAGCATTTCCAATCTGTTAGTAACAGTGAAAGAAAAAAATACTTCAATATCTTTTTTAAAATTTCAAATTAAATAAATTCTAAAGATTTTGGTGTTGCAGAAAACCAACATCAAATAACCAAGAGATACCAAAATTAACAGCAAACAGTTCTACTGGCCGAGTCCTTAACATGATACATGTCCTATCCAGTAATCCTTCTTTGCAGAGTAAAAAAGTCAAGAGTATTTAGAAAACAGATTATTATTTTGCTGTTAACTTTGAGCCACCCTCCACATGCAGTTATTTTGGATTAATATAGATTGCAATTTTTATAATTAGAATATAAAAGGAAATTAGCAAATAAATTTTTGAAACAGGCAATGATTTGAAGATTCAAAAGAGAAGTTTTTGCTCTCTTATCTTATAATGCAAATCCATTTAAGTATTTTGATACGACCTGTAGTCTTTCCAGGGTCGTAAAAAAATAATTCCAAAAGAAACATCACAGGGATAGACTTACTTTTCTGCATGCCCACAAAAACAACTTATAATGAGGTGATCACATGGCAAAATTCTTTTTCACTGAAGTCAGGAGGATTTGTATTATACAGCAGATGAGAAAATATAATTCTGTGTTTCGATCTTATTTGAGAAATCTTATCCTGAAAACAGATTTTAAAAAAATAAAATCAATTTTAAGCCTAAGATAGGGAGACTTAGTTTTTAACAACAACAACATTTGTTTAATAAGTTTCAAATCATAAGTTAACAGTCACCTTTACTGGAAGGGATGACTCCTTTCAAGATAGAAACCGGAATGTTTTCTGAGGAAGAGGTTAGACCGAGATCAATTATCTGCTCTGAGTAATATAATTTCCAATCATAAAAAGACATTTTTTTTTAACTTTAAATTGGGAAACTCAAGATGCAGGGGTTAACCTCTATGTGAAGTAGTATTCACCAAGAGGAGGAGCAGAACGTGAACAAAAATTCAAGTGGTAAAGCATTTAATGAAGTACCTGATGGTTATTTAAGACAAGTGTATAAATATCTTTTATGGCAAGTTATGCAGTGGAAATTGATAGAAGCACTCAAGTAAAGAACATTGTTAAATGCATGCTTTTAAGAAAGAATATACAGATCATTTCTGTAGAGACTATGAGAGGCAGGGGAAAAGAGGTTTATTGACTATGAAAAATAAAAATTTATAAATTTAGATTAAGTTAACAATGCAGTTAATCTATACATGTAGCTATACTCTGCATAGATTTTATATATTTTAGCTTTTTCAACACTATCTATTTCAACAGATAATTTTGCAGATTTTAGAGTGGGAAAGAAAAAGCAGGCATAAATTTTTAGCAAAAAGGTACACTTTCAGTCTAAATAATTTCTAATTTCCTGTGTTAAATACTTGTCATTTTATTTTTTTAATGCCATTGATAACTCTTAGAATTATAAAAAAAAAAAAAAAAATGCTGGAATATTATTTTTACAAATTATACCATCAAGAGATTGATGGTAATTATGAAATAAAATATTTTAACCAATTGGAACAGACACATTCAAAGAATTCCATTTGGTAGTGCCTTTACTGATGTAACTCAGTAAAATATATAAAAATATAGTGTGTTTTGTTCTGTTAAATTTAAAACAATACAGTAAACCCAATTCTGTGCAAGGAACCATTTAAGTTTCAGAAAGAGAAGAAAATTCCCTTTTTTTTAACATGGCCGGTTTAAGTAAAAGATTTGAGAGTATTTGAGGGGGAATGTCATCAAGAATTATAACCCATTTTTGTTATAGCAGTAATCTCCAATGATTACAGAAAAAAAAAAAAAAAAAAAAAAAAAACAAAACAGTGGTAGTTTTTTTTACCATTCTGTATTTAGAAAAAAAAAAAAAAAAAAAAAAAGCGGTAAAACTACATGCTAGCATCAGCTGAAAAAATTTTGAAGTTTACCAATAATACCAAGAATTAAAAAAAAAAAAAAGAAAGAAAGAAAAGTGTTAGAAATTTTCTGCAATTTATAAGAAACTTTTTTTTTTTTTTTTTATTTGTTTTTTTTTTATCTCATGTATAAATGTTTTCTTGGACTAGAGATCAGTGAATCATTGCTGTCATGAACAATTGAGATTTCCTACCCAGCCAACAATCCTGCGTTACAAATAAAACTTTTTTTTTTTGGTTAATTTTTTTCTTTCAAGCTATGACTAGAAAGATGCAGGTTCAACTTGTTATTCTAATCATGCAAACTCCCTTTGAAGAGACACAAAGAAATATCTGCAGCTTTAGCACATCTAATTTTCATTATTCAAATGTACACTGGATGCACTGCAGCTACAATTAAAACAATTTAAACGCATTTTGGATAAGTATGTAAAAAAAAAAAAACAACACCATTAACATTTTCTCAAATCTATTGAAAATAAATATTTACCTGAAACAAATGTTTTTGAAACCAGAACAACTTAAGCTGTATGACATCAGCATGCAGCAGTAGCATGAAGATCATCTCTATTGCATAGCAATAATAGATGTAGTAAAAGTTGCGACTGTCAGTCACTGATTCTTATAGATTTTCTGCTTTTAAAAAATTTAGTGTAGTTCTCATTTATTTTCAATGATTTTGAAAAAAAACATTCTGATGTTGAAAGTGTTAAAAATGCATATGAGCTAAAGTAAAAAAAAAAAAAAAATACAACTACTGGTGTTAATGAAAAAAAAGTGATACAAACAACAACTAGAATAGACAATAATAATAATAAAAAAAAAAAAAAAAAACCCGAAAAGAAATGGAAAAAAGAAATGAAAAAAGAAGGCTTGGTATTTGGGCCAAGAGTAAGTATTGAAGGTCGAAAATGTGCTGCTGAAATGGTAAGAAATAAATTATAATACTGCAACTGGGCAATGCAAAAAGCCAAGTATTAATGGTGGAGTTTGTAGGGAAACCAAAGCAAAGTGTAATTTTTATTTATTTATTTTCACATTCAGTCTCCAAAGATAACAAAACTACAAATAAAAAAAAAAAAAAAAAAAAAAAAAAAAATCGAAAGGAAAAAGAGCAATAAAAAAAAAAAAAAAATCAGTACATAAACCATGCCCTTCTCTTTTAGTTTTGTTTGCTACATCCTCTGGTAACCTTCAGGTTGCTTGTTACATTAAAGCCAACTTTATTTTTAATTTTTTTTTTTTTTAGAAACCCTGGGTAGGCTGGCAACAGATAGTAAATACTAGCAAAAAATATCAGGGGTTGAGACTAATATGTAGAAAATTCATGTACTGGTTAGATTTGTAAAGTATGGCTTTCCTACCTGAGGGAGAGAGAAAGAGGACATAACAGTGAAAATACTGTGAGCGTATGAAGAGGCTGGTCTGAATAAACCTGCAGACTAAGATAGAGAGAATTTCAAAATATTCAAGATTAAAACAAAATTAAGTGAGAGCAAAAATGAGATAATAACTAAGATCAAAGATTATAAAAAGAAAAAAAATAATAGTAAAAGTACATGAAAATGAGATAAATAGATGGGGGAGGTAATAAATAATGGACATATGATGTAAATTAATTTTTCTAAGATACAGAAGAGAAAAAGAAAAGAAAAGAAAGAATAACAATTATTTAAAAAAAAATAAAAAAAATACTGATTTTAATTTTTGTTAATGCTGTAGACTTTCTTTGTGTGAAAGGGAGGGAAAAAAGTAGAGCATACAGAAAAGGTAATTTAAAAAAACAAAAAACAATATAGGTGGGGAAAAAACCGAAGAGACCCGTTGGGTTAGCTGGCTACAAGGCAGAGATGAGGTGGCATATAGTGTATTGCGCAAACCATATGCACAAGAGGTGGGCACAAATTTCTTTTTTTGTTTGTTTTTTTTTAGCTTGCAGGCTTTTCTTTCCGACCAAGACGCAACACCTTCAAATGCAAGTGTGACAGAACGTTTTGGATATTGTCCCAACTAGTTTCCAAGAAAGGAAAAAGTGGTGGTGGGTCTTCTAGAGAGAGGTGAGGGCCAAAGATTTGCTCTCCTATAACCAAAGAATGTGTGTTTAGTGTCTGTTTGAAGTCATTGGCAACCGGGGAGGGAAGAACCACGGACAGTGATCGTGTGTCTTTTGTGGACTGCAAAGAAGTCACCACCTGGTGTAGGTTTGACATTTCACTTCCTTGGAGATCATGAGCAACCAGAATCGTGTGCGATTTTTTATTGAGCAATAAATGTCGAGGGGGCATGTATGTGTGGTAGAAGACGACATGGTCCAAACCAGTTGTACCCTGACTAGTTTTCTGCATTTGGAGGAGGCTTTGTAAAAGGCCTCCCTGGTGAAGAACACCATAAAATATGGCCAGCACCACGTTAGAGACAATCCACATGATGGCAAATGCTTTTTTCCATTTGAGTCTCTCCATTACGGAGGCACCAACAAGAATCATGACCGGGAGGAGAGGCACGAGGAAACGTGGTTCTTGATGAGGGAAGATGGTGAGTACATCTACAGGCACAATCACAAACATTGACAACCAACAAATGCTGTTGAAGTAGATAGCGTTGCTGAAATACCGATAGATGTTATACATGAACAACAAGTAAAGGACGCCATAGAGGAGAGGCATGTTGACAACCACGTGAAAATAGAATGGGTGAAGCCCGTGCTTAGCGAGATTGACATTCTGAATGTTATAGAAGATGAAATTGAATGGTGTTATGGCCGCACTGTGCACCACAGTCTTCCACATGCATGTCATCATATTCTGCTGGTGTTTGTTCTCTATGCAGTCATACATCCTGTTATTGAATTCCGTTAAAGTCGTTCGGTAATAAAGGCTGTCACCCACGATGAAGGCCAGACAGAATGGCAAGGTATAGAGCAGCAACAGACAAGAATTCTTGATCATGAGGGAAAGCCTGTGAGAAGAAACATGGTAGAGCCACAACAGGATAGGGGTCAGGCAGAAGATAGGGAACGTTGGACGGTTGAACGTGCCGGCAGACAGGCAAGCGGCCAAGATGATCAGATCAATATGAGGAACAGGGTTGGAGGCCTTTGGCTGTTTTTTATTTGCTTTTCGCTCCTCTGTTCGTTTCTCGACTTTCCGATCCTCGACAATGGGAGCAGGATTTGGGGTTGGAGGAGGAGGTGGTGGCTTGGTTGCATTCTGGTTACTCTGTGCTGAACCTTTGTTTTTATTTTTCTTTTTGTTCTTTTTGGAAGCTTGTCCAGACTGCGCAGGCTCCTGAGCATTCTGTTTTCCCCCGCCTGATGAAGATGAGGCATTGCCCTTTGCCTTTGCCTCAGGAGCAGGTTGAGGATTGGTGCCACCCTTCTGGCCACCTTTCTTTTTCTTTTTGCCTTCTGCTGAGCTGGGTAAGCGTTGGATAACAACGAGCAAGACAACAGCAAAGAACAAACACTCAATTGTATTTGAGAGGGTGCGCGTCAAGAAAGTCAATGTCACAAATGAACTGGCATACAAAGTAAGCCCAAGTGTAGGATTGATTCGTAGATATTTGCAAGCCTTCCAGATGATAATGTCAACAGCAAACATCAGCAAAGTGATGGCTAATCGTGGGGTCACTACTACCAGATATGGAGTGATTGTCACAGAAGCATAACTTTCTAAAAGTTGAAGTAACTTGAGAGGCAACCCATAAACAGCATAAGGTAAGACCATACTCCGGATTGGGTGTGAACGGTCAAACTCCCATGTTCTCTCAACATCAAGTTGGAGAATATCACCTGCAATTGAAAATTAGATAAAACTTGGAGCCAAGGCTAAAAAAACAACAGTAATGCAGCAGTGGTGGATTTAGAGGATAAAATATTTGTGCAATTTATTTTGCATCTTTACTGTCACACTCATTTTCTGATTATCTTCAGGTAACACATTATGCAATGAATCAAAGTTATCTAGAATATTCTATTTTGGAATTTTGATTGCAGATAACATTATTCAATAAGGTATAACTATCTTATTTACATTTGAACCATTGTTCTCATTATCATTGTTATGAGAACATTTAGGCCAGTGCACGCTCCAGCGTTCTTCAAGTTCTTGTCAATCTGGGCCCAGGTTGACAGAAGGCAGGAGGGTACAATGGTCGAAGTGTTGTGGTAACAAAAATGAAGACAATGGTTCAAATGTAAATAATGATAACTCCTCATCCCAGAAATTAAGATAGAAATACATATTTTATTTAGATTATAAGTTCCATAAATTCATTTGAAGAATATTGTTAAAAAAAAAACCAAAAAACTGATGAATCTTTTATTTTATTTAGAATACAATGTTCAAATTAACATGCAAACATTGTTACATCTTGTTAAAAATATCATAAATAGTTCTTTTAGCAAAGTTTAACATATGTACCTGAAAAAATGGTCTCAAAAGAATGTTTTACCCTTGACACCATTATTACTGTATACTGCAATGGTAATCTTTGTTATAGAAA